TTACCGTACCACTTTGTATATGATGAAGGCAGACCAATTTCAAAACTTTTGATATTTCGCATATATTATTAAGCGTTCGGTGAATAGTAATGTAAAGTTAAAGCAAAACATCTTTCTGGGGAATACTTAGCCCTAGGTAGATGTCACATTTTATTTTTAAGCAGCTGTCCGCTTAAAGTTCACTTTGTTAAACTATTATATAGTGTAAAACTTTTTTGTTTTCCTAATTTATTAAATATTTTCCAGGCATTTCATTTAATAACTCTTGAAAATCAACAACTATTTTTAATTAGCGGTTTTGTGATTGAAGCTTCATAATAAAAAGAAAAACATGGTTAACACCATCCGAGACGATAAACTGATAGGACTTTTCTTTTCAAAAAATCTGAGTTTTAAAATAAGTTTACTACTACGATTTGTTAAATGTTTTAAATTTTATCCTGCATAATGTAAAATAAACCTGTAGCAAAATAATTAACTTATTTTCAATAATTTCTAAGTTTTTTTCCGAAGAACATTTCTAAATACTTTAAAAAAAAATTTCAAATAACACCTTGGTATTCTTTATCTATGTATAACTTATAATCAAACAAAAAATTATGCGGACTATGGTGATTTGTTTATCGATAAAAAACATCGACATAGTCCAAGCCTTACGTTGCTTACGCATTTAGACAGCGCCATCAGTGTATCGACACGTGTACAATTTGATGGTGTGTGTAAACGCGATGAACACAAACACAAATGCTGTAGTGTGCGTTTATAGTGACGCGATTTAATTTTGCATTTGTAGTTAAGTATACAGTTGTATGGTTTTCTTGCGCTCCCCTGATGTTGACAGAATTTTTGTTTAGGAATTAACGCGCATGGCCTCTCCAGTTGGTTGAATACTCAAAGACCAGCGTAGACTGTGGCCTTGCGATACTATTCTCTCTACTATAGTCTGCTCGCTTGGGCAGTACTGACTTTTATTATACAAGTAGTCAGTGTTGGGCAATCATTTGAACCTCTTAAAACATTGCAATGCGACCTATAAAATATTACGAAGTTTAACATTTTTATATTCTAACGGGGTAAACCCTACCGGTACCATATTTTTACCTACCGGTACGAGGTCACACAAGAACCATTTTTTCCAATCCGTTGTCAGTTATTCAAGTTATATCGCTGGCCCATCGCCACCACAGTTTAATTATCTGTTGGGCTATGTCGATAACACTTGTTCTACTACGAACATTTTCATTAAAAAGTATATCACGCAGATAAACTTTGAGCAAAGTTCTGTCCATTGCTCTCTAAGTGACTAAGCTTCCTCATGTTTGTCATCACTGACAGCGCGCTTTGGTTGTACACTCTTGTTTTTTAGTTTTGAGGTATGTGATGCAGTGATAAGATGTGTCGTACTCGTACTTAACCTCATTCATGAAATAAAAAATAAAAATATAAATTTCTTTGCAAATTTCCGCTAAACATAATGTATATAACATAGTATGTTTAGCGGAAAGTTGCAAAGAAATTTATATTTTTATTTTTTATTATAATGGATTTCCGCAAAGTAACGCCTGATTCTATCAATTATCATTCATGAAAGTTGTCCAGTCAAATAGGATCTTTTGATTGGCCTCTTGGTCGAAGTGTAGGGCGGCTTCCCAATAAATGGAGAGCCGATCTGCCCTGGTATGACATGCAGAAAGTCAATAGATGCAGTTGGAGCAGTACCGTGTTTTATGCTATTTATTAACACAGTGATGCACAGACTTATTAAGACTCAGGGCCACTCGGGCAAATTATGAACTGATGGCGGGCCGCTAGAAGTATAGGTAATTAGAGACAATAAAGAATTGATAATAATGTATTAAAATTGAAAAAGAATTTATTAATTTGAAGCGTGGCACTGCATAGTGCTTACAATCATTTTTATATTTGGCTCAAATTTACTTGTAGCAACATGTAAAACTGCTTCCAAACTTTCATTTGCAAGGCGGTTTCGATTTTTTGTTTTACGATTATTTAGTATTGAAGAGTTTTGTTCACATATATAGGTAGAACCAAATAAGCTACACATTTCACAGTGTTTATGCGCAACTCGTTGTATGTATTTTTATCAATGCGGCGGTAAAAGTTCAGCAAGTCTCCTTCGTTGAATTTGTTGCGTAAATCTTGGTCGTTTTGAATGTCGATAATTTCTAACTGCATTGACTCGGGCGCATTTTCAACTGAAATCATGAAAGGATTGCTGAATATGTGCAACAGAGGTTTCACTTTTTTAAACTCTAAAAATCTGTCTTGAAAAGATTGAATCAAAATATCTAGCTTTTCTACATAACTGAAATTAATCGCAGGTTTGTTGAATTTTTCAGCCATTTTCTTATAATTCGGAAAATGATTGTAATTTCCAGAATTCAATTGCGATCTGAAAAGTGTCAGCTTGCATTGAAAGGATGATACATGAGCGTAGAGCTGGGATATCAGTTGATTTTTGCCTTGAAGCGGTGTGTTCAAGACATTCAAATATTTTGTAATATTAACTAAAAAAGCCAAATCACACAACCTATCAGGATTTTTAAGTTCCGGGACATCCCTTTGCGTTTCCGCCGGAAATATTCCAACTTCTTTTATTAAATTTAGAAATCGTTCCAGTGTTAATCCACGACTTAGCCACCTCACTTCTTTATAATACAGTAAATCTCCATATTCGCTTTCGATGTCATCAAAGAATTGTTTGAATTGCCTGTGATTGAGTCCTTGTGATTTTATGAAATTTACATTCGAAACTACCACTTTCATGACATTTTGAAATTTAATTTTTTTAGAACAGAGGGCTTCTTGGTGTATAATGCAGTGAAACTGCATGAGATTTTCAGCGTTTATGTTTTTTTCTTGCAGAGGCATTTTCAGCAAAGTAACTAGCCCAGAATTGACACCAATCATCGAAGGAGCACCGTCAATTGCAACTCCCGATAATTTTGATAAATCCAAATCAGTTTTTGAACATCATCCAAAAGTACATTGAGTATATCAACTCCTCTGGTTTGACCTTTCAATGAACACATTCCTAATAACTCTTCTAAGACTTCAAAATCTTGAGTAACACCTCGTATGAATATCAGAAGTTGAGGTGTGGAACTAATATCAGTGGATTCGTCGAGTGCTAATTAAAAAAATTCAATGATCTTAGTTTTTTCATTTAATTGTTCCGAAATATTACCTGACAAAGACATAATTCGTCTTTTGATAGTCATACGATTCAGTTGAATTTTCTCAAACTTTTTTGCTGCTTCTGGACACATTTTCTTAGCGGAAATTTCTATGCATTCTTTTACAAAATCCCCATCATTGAAGGGGCGACTTCGCTTTGCTATCATTCGAGAAATTTCATAACTAACTTCTGTAGCTGTTTCTTAATCATGAATGGGTTTTGTAAACATAACTTGCTGACCAATAAGCTCCCGTTTTAAAGACAACATGCGTTTCATAGTGCCTTTTTTACATTATATTTCTTTGCAATCGCAACAGAATTATTGCAAATTAAACAAATGACTTTGTTATGCGACCGTACAAATAAGTATTTCTCAGTCCAAATTTCTTGAAACTGCCGATTTTCATCTTTAACCTTACGTTTTTTACTAGGTCCTGGCTTGTCCATGTTGTGTTCTAATCCTGGCTACGATTAACATAGCACCTAAAAACAATTACAGTACCTACTTAAATTACCCATCCTTTTTTAAATTACCAAAAATAATTGATTAAATATGTAGGGCAACACTTATTAATAACAGAGTTTTACTTACGATTTCACAACACAATTATACACGGCACTTGACGGGAAATCTACGTTGAATGTGGATCAAAATATATGACACCGGCTAGTCGAGTTAAAATCTACACTAGAATTATTGACACTTCACTCAAATTAAAACTGAACTGTTGGTCGCTGCGGTTAGCGTGGCTTTTATACCGCGCGCATAGAGTCGAAAACTGTCTGAAGAAATCACGAAACCGACTCTGGAAGCTTCGTGTCGCCACGCCGCCGGCCGCGGCGGTTCCTCAAGAAAACGAATTTAACCGAGATCAGCACGAACTTTACCGACCGCTGTTACCGTAGACAGAGAAACCTATAGACAAATTGACGCCTTCTTTCGCATTCGCACACGAAAAAGATAGATTTATCATACGTCTTGCATAGAAATGAGATAGAGCGGTGTGATTGTTTGTCCCTTTCACCGTGCCGGTTTTTTTGTTTGTAAAACAACTGTAGAGTTTGCTAAACAACTTTGAAAGCGTAGCGATTTAAGGAGTTTACAAGTTGGTTTAAGTGAGAAAAAAGTGTTTTGTGAGCCTAAGATTGGTGAATCTTGTTCAGTTCAGTTCTTAGAACAATTAAATTTTTTATCTAAATGTGTTTAAAAGTCATAAGGATTATTGTATAACCTAAAAATTCGTTATCGTCCTTTCTCACTCGAGGCCACGCCGATCATTAGTCTATAGGTTTCTCTGTCTACGGCTGTTACCGACGCATGCACGGCGCACAGATAAGCGCACTTAAGAGCGCGCGCGCGAGATTCAAATTACTTTTCGAACATATGTTTTTTGGTTTTATTCTGGAATATGATTCAATATTTTTCAAATATACGAGAGTATTATTTTTGCTGTCTGCGGGCCACCAGTATTGATCTGTGCATCTACGTATTAACATAATATTCTTTTTGACCGAAGGCCTCGTAGCAAATGTTACAATAAGTAAAAAAAAGACTGACGTTTACGTTTGATCTATGACTTTTTTACATGATACATGTGCGATTGACAGTTAATTTTTCATGTTTACATTTTACAATTATTATAAATTTTGATTATTTAGTCTAGTGGTCAATATTTTACATCAAACGTATAGTTAAATAAAAAAAATGGTTTTGTCTGATATGTCATAATATAAATTTCGTTAGAGTAGAGCATTAAAGTAACCACAAATTGTTAAAAAATTTACAAAATATTCTATTAAAATGGAAGTTGGTGCTGTTAAACAGGCTTTTAATAATGAGGTTAGTATTACAAAAATTATTATTTATGTTCTTTAGAAGATTGATAAGATATAGTATTTTAATATAAATGTTATTTATGTTTCAGGTTATTCTAATGAAGAAACATTTAAATCAAGCGAAAATTCAAATCATACATAAGCTTACTAGGAAGGCTAAAACATTAACTGAAAAAAAAGCTCCAGAAAAATTAAAAGAGAAGCTAAAAAAGAAAGCTGAATCAGCTGTTAAAGAAGTTTTGATTATAAAGGTATCTCTAATTTATTACTTTAACATGTTGTAAACTTAAGAATTTTGTACAACCAACTTCAATTTAAATTAAATGAGAATATCTTCAATGTACTCGAAGTCAATTAAATAAGTATTATTAAGGATAAATCAAAACTCTTCAGATATAGATCAAAATTATTTTGGACCACATGAAAAGCATCAGCTTTCAAATAAAAAAAAGAGTCATCAAAATCGGTTCACCTAAAAAAAGTACTGAGGTAAAACACACTAAAAAATACTTTTGTATTGAGTATCTCCTCCTTTTTGAAATTGGTTAATAAAATAAGTCCTATCAAAAGTAGAATTATATATACAACATATGCTACATTAATGTAATATAACTTCATATTTTACCCCCTCAGAGGTGGAATCTCCATCTATCCTTTCTTAGTGGGTGTCTAAGTCGACAAAACAATATATATGCCAAGTTTCAGGTTAATCTGGCATATAATTTTGTAGGCCTCTTGATGACTGATTGAGTCAGTGGTATTTTGCTTATATATATATATAATTATCACTTAGCATTATGCTCAATGACCTCAATAGTGTCTCCCAACGGATAGGTCTTCGGATGAACATGGACAAAACAAAGATCATGTTTAATGTCCATGTCACACCTATGCCGGTAGTTGTTGGGAGCGCTATGCTCGAAGTTGTTGACGAGTACGTTTACCTGGGGCAAATAGTCCGACTAGGTAAGTTCAACTTCGACCGAGAGGTCAATCGACGGATTCAACTCAGCTGGGCAGTGTTCGGGAAATTACGACACATCTTCTCGTCAGGTATACCTCAATCTTACAACATATACTTACGGATCTGAGACGTGGTCCTTCACTGCTGGCCGTATGACGACGCTCAATGTCGCTCAGCGAGCTATGGAGAGGTTATGCTCGGAGTTTCTCTGTGTGATAGAGTCAGAAATGAGAATATCCGCAGTAAAACCAGAGTGACCAATACAGCCCAACGGATTAGTAAGCTGAAGTGGCAATGGGCCGGTCATATAGCTCGAAGAACCGATAACCGATGGGGAAGACAGGTTCTCGAGTGGCAGCCTCGTACCGGTAGGCGTAGTGTAGGGCGACCCCCCACTAGATGGAGTGACGACCTGGTAAGACATGCAGGAAGTCGATGGATGCAGGTGGCTCAGGACCGTGCTTTGTGGCGTTAATGGGGGAGGCCTACGTTCAGCAGTGGACTTGTGAAGGGCTGTAATGATGATGATGATGATGATAAGCAAAATACCACTGACTATATATATATATATATATATATATATATATATATATATATATATATATAATTATTTTTACATATCCTTGACACTTTCTGACACATTCTTCAACTGCTATGACAAAGTTTCACATTCAACTTTGACTGAATGTTCATAACTTTGATATTCTCGTTGCAATGACCACTTACTGTCGGTTAGATTAATTCGTAAACATAGGATTAGGTGAAGATTAGAGCTAGTAAAAAAAATTTTTAGTTGTTAAGCTCACAGTAAGAATCCTGTATTTGTCTAACTAAATAACATTATACCACCACCTTAAAGAGAATGTTTTCAGTTTTCAATGAATACATTTTATTAGTTTTATTTTATCATCTATGCCCACTTGTATGTATTGGTATAGCCATTACAGCAAACTTAAAAATGTTGGTGTGCTGTCACTGGCCCGTTGCCCCACAAAGTCCCTGCCGTTGCACTGCACAAGTGCATTTGTTTCACAACTGTTTACTCTCTGTAAACTGTGACAATACTTTCATAATGTCTTGATAATACCTGGAATATGTAACCACAAACCTCTTTAAATATGTATTTTTGATTCATGAAAATCGTGAGAAGTAGATGTGCTATTTAAAAAAGTGTTCAATAAATATCTTATGTTATGATTAGATGTTGCCTTTGTAATATGGAGTCATTATATAACTATACAAATAAATAAAATTGAAGTGCCTATTTGTAATGTCATAATAATATATTTTTACTAAATGCATTTGAAAGTATATATGGCATATATAACAAAAACAGTTTTTAATATTTTTATCTGTCTGTTGGTCTGTCTGTCTGTCTGATTGTTTTGGCTAATCTGCGAAATGGCTGAACCGATTTTGACAGGAATTTCACTGGCAGTTAACTCATGTCATAAGTAGTAACATAGGCTACTTTTATTATAGAACAAGAAAAAGATTTCGGTTGGACATAGATGTCCAAAAAATAAAACCCATGGAATCCAATAGTAATAAATTCCATGCGGATGAAGTCGCGGATATCAGCTAGAACATACATAAATTGCACATGTACGAATATCGAGACCTGCAATAATTACTTGTAGGCCATACAAACATTGTTTCATGTGTACCAAACTGTCAAAACAAAGAAAATTACTATGCAATTAGAGTTCATATTATGTATAAATTAATGAAATTTCATTAGAGAATCAGCAGTAGCCACAAAAATACATAATACCGAAAGGAGGTTTTATTTAATCACTAATAATTCGCCTAAATATGTGGTGTATATTAGTTTCATGTACAAAATATTTGTCTTTTCATTTATAGAAGCAGTTTCTATTGTTTGTATGATATAAAAATAGAGAAACAAAATAGTTGAATTCCAAAAAATTATTTATTTTTATTTTTATTATATTATGTGCCATCTAAAATATTAGAAATCAACAGTAAAATTAATGAAACACTTCTTACTATCCATGTATAAAATTGTATATATAACAATTGCTGTATATTTATTTATGATATTGAATTTTAGCAGGGATGGGAGATATGATAAGGATATGGAACGACGAGTGAATGCGGGAAATAGAGTAAATGGAGCTCTGCACTCTATTGTGAAGAGTCAAAATGTGTCGAAAAAGGCACGTATGGCAATTCACAATGCTGTGTTGGTCCCTACTTTAACTAATGGTTGTGAAAGTTGGGTGTGGCAGAAGAAGCACGAGAGTAAAATGAACGCAGTAGAAATGCGGTCATTAAGAAGTATGTTAGGGCTGAATCTGAATGAGAAATTGTGTGATAAGAGAAGAGTGTTGTTTGCGAGATGATGTTGTGACCAGGATTAAGAAAGGAATGCTTTGGTGGTTTTGTCATGTGGAAAGAATGAATGAGGAAAGAGTGACAAAGAAAATTTATGTTGCAGAAGTGAATGGCAGAGTCGGAAAGGGACGTCCTAGGCGAAAATGTATCGACCAAATTGGCGATTTATTGAAAACGGGCCAAATTAGGAGTACCCTTAACCGACGAGCATGTGTGCGTAGGTATATGGATGTGAAGAAGGCGAGAGAGGTGTGTCAGGATCGTGCCAAATGGAAGTCTGTAGTCTCTGCCTACCCCTCTGGGTGACAGGCGTGAGTGTTTATATTATGTATGTTATTTATGATAATTTCTGTATATTTCAGAAAATCAAAGCAAAGGACCTTGCAAAATTTATAGTAACACATGATGGAGAGCTTAACAACTATCTTAACACACCTGATGTCAATCAAGATAAGGCATGTGCCAGATTATTACTTCACAAATGCTTACAAGAAAAATACAGATCCATAAGAGATAGATTTGGTAAATCTTCGATAGAGGATCTTCTGATGTCTCGGTTAGAGAGACGAAAATTAAGGAAGGAAGCTAGAGAGAAACAAAAAAATAAAAGGAAAGGAAAGGAAGCATTTAATAAAGCGGTAAATATTGAAGGTACATGGGAGGTTGAAAAAATAGTTAAGGATAAAAATATTGGTGTATTAGATGACAGTGATGGCAAGGATGACAATGATGATAAATGTCTTGGCAATGAGTCAGTGCAGTCAGTTGACGAAGTTGATAAATCTCAATTAGATAATGAGTCTGGTGATGAATCAGAACCTGAGAATGAAGAAGAAGAAGAGGTAGAAGATAACTTCTTGCAACACAAGGAAATTGTCAAGGATGACGATAAAAGTGATGACAGTGGTAAAATAAGTCCAAATATTGAAAGAACTCTCACAAGTAAGAAGGTCCAAATCCTAAACGGTAAAAATAATGCAAGAGATTCAACTAATTTACAAAAAGATGTAAATAAAAAGAAAAAAGAAGTTAACAAAAATAAGAATTTTAATGACAAGATTCTCAAGAGGAAATTTAACAAAGAAATACAGGAGCGAAAAGTACAAGAAGTAAAAGTTGTTGATCCATTCTTTATAACTCCTACAGGTGAAAGCTATCTATCTGTAGTTGAACCAAGACAACCTGATGAAGTTAAGGAGGTCCACAAACAAGGGAATAGGCAATACAGAAGAGCAGTTATGTTTGGCCATGTACCTAAACCTAAACCTAGAAGGAATGATTTTAATTTGGATAATGGGGAATACAAAAACATATCAAATGCAAATAATAGATTTAATAATAACTATGGTAGTCAAAAACAAAATAGACAGTATATGGACGAAAATGTAAAACAAAATGGAGAAAGTGAAAAAGTAGAAAAATTACATCCCTCGTGGGAGGCTAAAAAGCGCAAATCCGGTCTTTTACCATTCCAAGGTAAAAAAATTGTTTTTGATGATGGTGAATAATATTTATAGTACATAAATAAAAATATAATACCACTTTTTTTTAAATCACATCTTTTTAATGTTCAATATTTTTGATTTATATTTGTATATAACAGTCAAATCATGTGTCATTAAAATGGAACTATTAAGTTCCAAAAATGGTACTTATTATATAAAATTACCTCGATGTCTGTATAAGTCTGCCGCAAATACTTTTAAGATAATTGTAAGGTGTAAATGGTGTTTATTAAAAACGTTTTCAAGTAAGATATGTCTACCCTGGTTAGCAAGAGTGAGAGAATAGTTAAAAATAAGTATATATTATGTTGTACGAGCGTTTATATTAGTACTAGCGATAAGCCCGGGAAGCACCCGCACGGGTGATTTCTGGATTTCGACAATAGCGCCACCGACTGGGTCCAATTGAGATTTTAAACCATCCAGGGACCCACTCAAATACACACAAAAAATTGTCAAAATCGTTCGAGCCCTTTTAGAGTTTTAGCGAGACTAACGAACAGCAATTGATTTTTAAAAGCTTTTAAGCTTTTATTTAAGTTGTAAGTATGTCTTGGAATATTGCAATCAATATTTCACCAACTAAAGTATACTGAAGCTTTCGGGTTAAAATTTTGCACACACGTTTGCTTTTTGAGACATGCACGATTACTTAAACTGCTATTTTTAATGAAATGTGGCAGACGTTACAAAATAGCGATTTATCATTTCCATAGCAATCCATATGATATGGGTGTCTAATGAAAGGGCTTTATAAACGAAACACAATAAGTAAAGTGTACCTATTCTGAATTCAATATGGTGGACGTTATAAAATGACGATATATAATTTCCATAGTAACCCCTATGATATGAGTATCAAATAAGAGGGCTAGATGAGCAAAAAATATAAGTAAAGTGACGTTATGCTAAATCTAATATGGCGGACGACACAAAATGGCTATGTATAATTTTCATAGTAAATCCTATTATGTGGGTAGCAAAAGAAAGGGCTTGAGCAGCGAAAGTCAATAAGTAAAGTGACGTCATTCTAAATCCAATATGGCGGGAGTCTAATATGACAATGCAATATTATAACGACATGTAGTAGATTACATGATAGATCTCGATTGTAACCATTGCTAAAAAAGCGGAAAACAAAACGGACGCCATAACCATTTTAAAGAATCAAGTCTGCAAAGATTAGGGATAGTTTGCTGGTCCTTGAACAAACGTTGTAGGGCAGCAAGGGTCAACTGCTGATTTAAGTTGGCGGTCAAGAAATTAGTTCCTCCAATCCGCTTGTAATAATGTTATCCCGTAGTTTTTGGAGTATGCGATAACGATTTTGGGGTCGAATTATGCGGGTCAAATTTTGCAACTGAATTTAAAAGTACTCCTAGCTAAATGACGTCATTATGAATCCAATATGGTGAACCAATCAAGATGGAGGACTAATTATTTTTATACACTCCCATAAAATGGATATTATATAAAAGGGGCGCTAAGGATCTCCGGTGTTGGGGTTCGGTTGCCACCTAAGACGACTCGATCTGGCAACATCCAGCGCACGCACCCTGAGGACTGACAAGAAGATCCTGGAGCTGAAACAAGAGTAGACAAGTTGCGCTGGAACATTATGGGATTATCCGAGGTCCGACGAGAAGGGGAGTACACGGTGATTCTCGAATCCGACAACTTGTTCTATCACGGGGAGGGCGACCATCTGTCCCAAGTAGGTCTTGGATTTATCGTCCACAAGTCTTTCGATAACAATGTTGTATAGTAGATTGGGAGTGTGTCGACGAGAGATACTTAGAATCACCAAATGGTATTCGTTGAAGGTCATACAGGTTTACGCACCAACCTCGGCACAACCTAATGATGAGGTGGAGGAAATGTATGAGGATATTTCTAGAGCCATGCATTCCTCGGTACGGTATAAAACGGGAGATTTCAACACAAAACTAGGCACAACAAAGAACGGTGAGCTGAAGGTAGGGAAATTTATGATAGGGCAACGAAACCAAAGTGGCCGGCAGCTGGCCGAGTTCATGGATAAAGAGGGACACTTTATGATGAACTCTTTCTTCCCGAAACGGCCCCACAGAAAATGGACCTGCTCGAGCGCTGACGGTTCGACAAAAAATTAGATTGATTTCATTATGGCGACTAGACGGCAACTGTTCAGTGATGTCTCAGTGATCGCAAGGGTGAAAACTGGCAGCGTTCACGGAATGGTTAGAGGCACACTGAATCTAAACGTTAAGTTGGAGAGGTCTCGTCTACTGAAGTTAACGCACCGTCCCCCCCCCCCCCCCCGTGCTCTAATCTAAAGTCCGGAAACCTTTCAGCTCGTGTTACAAAACCGTTTTTAGTGCCTAGAAGTCTGCAATATAGTGGACGATATGAATGACAAGCTTGTGGAAACTGTCCATGCGGTCGAAGCTAAGTTGTGCAAGACCTGCCGCAGAAGAATACAAAAACTCTATGATCACATTCTTAATCTCATGGCTGCTAGACGGGAAATGAAGCTGTAGTCTTCAAGAGATTTGATAGCATACAGGCAGCTGAACAGATATATCTCTTAATGCATGCGGCGGCACTTACGTAAGTTGAATACTGCAGGTATTGAAAAAGCGATCTAGCGGAACCAGGGCTCCAAAGTCTGCCAGAGATCTGTCTGCCAGAAAGATCCAACTGTCAAAGCTGAAGACTGAGTGTGGCAGCATCATGATCAGATCGTTGCCAGTGATGACTTATTGATCTGAGACGTGCTCCTTCACTGCTGGCCATATGAGGACGCTCAAGATCGCTCAGCGAGCTATATAGAAGGCTATGCTCGGGGTTTCTCTGCGTGAGAAACCTAAAAAATGAGGATATCCGCAGTAGAACCAGAGTGACCGACATAGCCCAACGGATTAGTAAGCTGAAGAAGAGAAGAAGAACCGACAACCGATGGGGTTTGGGACCTACAAAGAAGGTTCTCGAATGGCAGCCTCGTACTGGTAGGCGTAGTATAGGGCGACCCCCACTAGATGGAGTGATGACCTGGTAAGACATGCAGGAAGGCGATGGATGCTGGTGGATCAGGACTGTGCTTTGTGGCATTCCTTGAGGGAGGCCTATGTTCAGCAGTAGACTTATGAAGTGCTGTAACTGTAATGATGATGATAATGATGAAAATGAAGTCCGCGTTTAGCTCATCGAGGAGATTCGTACTGCCCGGCTAAATGGTAAAATTAAGAGAGGTTGTGTTTTAACTAATATCAACCTACACATTGGATAAATTATATCCGTGGTGAAAAAAATCAAAACGTAGGAAAACAAGATGGCCGCCATACCAATTTTAAAGACATATCTCAGCAACGGTTCGGGGTAGTTTGGTGGTGCTCGAACAAATGTTGTAAATACTCAAGGGTTAAATACTAGCAATAAAAATTCAAGTTGGCGGATTTAGCTCGGCGATCTAAAAACAGAGGCATTTAATAGTAAAAAAACATTTTTTAAAAACAAGCTTTTATTTAAATGCTCTAAAGAGAAGAAAATAAACTATAAATTAAATCAGACCCATACATTTATGAAATTACACAAAAAATTAAAAGCTTGTCGCGAGATTTACCTGTGTACATAAACAAGAGTACAATATGTAACTTGATATTGCCATAGCACAGGTAATAAATAATTCTAAGGAAAAAATCTTTTTTTGTAAAATTGGTAAATTTCGTATAATAAATAAAAAGCATTTATATAATTAAATTGTAATAAATTGATATTTTCTTCTTTTTAGAGCATTTAAATAAAAGTTTGCTTAATGATTTCTTATATTTACGCGAACACTATACATTGATTAAAACTATAAAATCCGTAAAAGTAGTTTTAATCAAAAGTTTGCTTTTAAAAATGATTTTTTCCTATTCATTTAGGTATTACATACATCTAAGAAGATTATATAATGTCCTCCCGACCGAGTTTCGGTTACGGAGGCCGATCTCAACGGAGATCATAGATTACTGTGTTCATATATACTGTAGACGAGACGGAGAATAACCATCAGCGCAATACAGAATAGTGCCCGAGTGTACGCGCAATCACAAGTGCACTCTATTCCCTCACTCTCATAGTCCGATTGGACGGTTATCCGATACGACCGGAGAGAGATCAAGCGCATACCACGGCTTTATGTGTTTTCCGAGGCACAGGGGTGAAACATCGCAAATTTTCTGATTCCGGGCTACAACTGCTAATTTGCTGTCAGAAAACCCCAATAACTGGTTTTGCCGACCGAGTTATTAAATTAAAGTATTATTTACGTGAGTAGATATTAATTGACGTGAAGTTCGCCAACACACATTGGGGCAGCGCGGCGGACATTTCCTTGCCCTAAAATCCTTTCAGAAATAATAGGAAGCATGTGCCCAGCGGAGGGACGTATATAGGCTGTAACTTTGGAACTATAATAACTACACGTCATTTTAGCAACGGTTTGGTAGTTGTGACCTTATTTCCAGGGATTCATTTTCATCAGCATCCATTTGACGTATACAAAGTTCAAAAACTGTTCATTAATCGTAAACTCTTCATCAAATTAGGTCATTTTGGCATCAAAGATAGAGCTCGGATGAAGAGATGTTTTATTTCAAATACTTTTTGATGAAAAAGAGGAGAATAGAAAATGGAAACGGCGTGCTCCCAAATACTGAATACACGACATTAATATGAAAAGAAATAACTATGGCGAATTTCATCATTTATATCCAGATTTGAAAAGGGATCATGTTTTTTTTTTCATAGAAGAGGGGGCAAATGAGCATGCGGCTCACCTGATGTTAAGTGACTGCTGCCGCCCATTATCAACCGCAACATCAGAGGAATTGCAGGTGCGTTGCCGGCCCTTTAGAAAGGAGTAAGCTCTTTTCTTGAAGGTCCCTAGGTCGTAACGGACCGGAAAAATCGCCGGTGATAAACTATTCCACAGAGAGGTCGTACGCGGAAGAAAACTCCTTGTGAAACGTACAGTGGTGGATCGGCAATCATCCAGATGGTGTGGATGGTATCGGGACGTTTGCCGCGTAGTGCGTTCACGAAATTTGGCGGCTGGGATTAATCCGAACAATTCCTCAGAGTACTCCCCATGGTATATGCGAAAGAAAATGCAAATAATTATACGTGGTAGAGCTATGCTGCAGTTATATTAGTAGTAGGCATAGTTGTAGCACGAATGGGTCGGCTCAACCGGGGAAGGACCACGCTCTCACGGAATACCAGCGTAAAATAGTAGTAGTAGTAGCTTAATGCTGCTGTGTTTCGTATGGTGAGTGTAGAGAACCGGAGACCCTTTTTACTGGAAACGAGGCATTCCATCTTAGTCCTCACGGGTGACGACGCATCTGCATTTTGATTCGTAATCGAGGAAAGATGTAGATGTCTATGGGCCACAGCAACCACTTACCATCAGGTGGACTATGTGCTCGTTTGTCACCCTATCCTATAAAAAAAAGAGATGCAACATCTCTTCGGAGCGCCAGTGAATCGAACCGATCGGAAAGTACTCGGTCGTCGACGATTCGAGCCGCTCTGCGCTGGATGTGGTCAAGTGGAAAGAGCTAGCACTGGGGAGCTCCAGCCCAGAGATGGGAACAGTATTCCTTGTGCGGCCGAACCTGCGCAGGTGGGCAAGTTGCAGGCAGCGTGCCGGCATGAAATACTGCCCCACTCTGCTGAGCACGCCAAGCTTTTTAGAGGCCAATTTGGCCTTCTCTTCCAAGTGACCACGAAACTGCATGTCACTCGATATGTCGACGCCGAGGATTCCGATACTGACTGAGGCAACAAGGGGAGTGCCTTGAAACTTAGAAGATACGACGAAGGGGTTCTTTTTAGCGGTTCACGCGCAAAGTTGTGTCTTCTGAGGATTAAATTGGATTATATTTAGTCGCCCCTAATCAAAGACTTTGTTCAGCAAAGACTCGACTGCAGACATAAGTTTGTCCCGGTACTCAGAGACGTTTTCCCGAGAAATATTGGCACGGCCGGTGTACAGAGCATCACTAATGCTGTCATCTGCATAGCAATGAATGTTACGGATTAGCAACATATCGTTGATATGCAGAAGAAACAGCATTGGTGATAGCACGCAGCCTTGAGGAATACCGGCATTAATAGGCTTGTAATCGGAGCTTACATCGTCTACAACGACCTTCATGCTCCGATCTGCAAGAAAGCTGAGGATCCAATTGCACAATTTCTCGGGAAGCCCATGGGAAGCGAGCTTCGAATGAAGCGCTTTATGCCAAACCAGATCGAAGGCCTTCACAATGTCCAAACTAACGGCCAATGCCTCCCCCTTGGACTCTACTGCTTCCACTCATCTATGAGTCAGGTAGACCAGAAGATTACCAGCTGTTCAGCCACGACGAAAACCGTATTGCCGATCACTAATCAGCTAAGGGTACTTAAGTATGCCTTACCTGTCTTATTCAGTTAACAAACAATCTTGACATGCCTCATTAATTCAATTTGCCATAAAAGTTCTTAAAGGACGACAAATTAGCTATTTTGATTACAATACTGGTATTAAATGTTATGAAAAAATTTTAGTAGGTTTAATATTTTTTTTAATTTTTTGAATGACATATTGCGTTATAGAGGCATGCCAATATTATGTACTTAATAATACCACTGTAGTTTCAGTTCTTGTTTCTGGGTCGACGTCAAAGTAAGATGCTTTCGTTGCAGCAAGGGATAACTCGTCGTCGTTATTATTAGCTCCTGTCTCCAAATTTTGTTTCCTAAAAAAAGGCAAATTTTCGTAATAGCTGTGGTAATTCTTTAGAATAATTCCATCCTTACAAATAGTCACCAAAGTCTTAATTTCGAACTTATATTAATGAAAGTGGTTCAGAGTACAGATTTCTTTCCATAGAAGAGCTTACACCCCCTTTAATTTTCTTCAGTAGTCGAATTTGAAGAAAAGTGAATCGGAACATCTTTCCTAACTTGTATCCATCTAACTTTAGCCCATTTTAAAAGCATGCCATCCGTGGGTTTACGTGTTTCCAATAGAGATATCTCGCATTACCTTAAATTCTTAAAATTCTAAATGATAATCAACCTTAATTTCATATGTTCTTCGTACTCTTTATGTTCCTCTTCGGGTAACTACTCAAACTTATTTATGACATCAGCATTGGTCTTCTCTCGGCTTGTGAAAATCTATATTTTTTGACAGGATCAATTTTTTTTATGAAGTCTTGCAGATAGAATCCTCGTTATTTTACTATATGTTGTTAACATAACTTATAGAACCAGCCTCTTCTTGTTGACTTTGACTAACTAATTACTGATTCTGTCACTTCTTTTTTAAAAGACTTTTGTGAGTTGTCCATTGTGTTTGGTGACGGAATGTAATTAGAATGTGCCATAGAATCATTATCTTCAGAGTTTCACATTGCTTCTGGTAATGTTTTATTATTTGTATTGGATGTTGTAGTTTGTGTTTCTAATATGTTAGGTCTTAACACTGACTGCACATAGGGTATTAGTTTAAAAAGTATGTATGTTCTCTACTTTGAATTAAAGAAGCTCTTCAAGTAGTAATTAGTTGGTTATTTTATACTGACATTGGTGTCAAATGTGTGGTTAATTAAACATCTTTGGTACCTACTATTAGAATAGAATATTTTTATTCAATACAGATTACAAGTAAATAAGTCCTTTCTTAATTTTACCATTGATTCGGAAAAAGCCCCTGCCCTGGGTAGAATCAGCAAGGTACCTAGCGGGACTTTAAAAAAATCATACAATACTTATGTTGAACAAAACCTCTCTCCTCCCTCCCTCTCATTCTCAGGAGTTATTATCAACCGGGTATTCATTTATATTATAATAACCACTTTTTTACAGATTTTGTTTATTAAATTTTTTAAGTTTGGTTATAGAGAGACCTTGTATATTTTCCGGGACTTTGTTGTTTTAATTACTGATTGAGTGAATATATTGGGTGTTGTTGACATGACTATGCGTCCGCGTTTTAACGTAATCTTGACAAAGCAATACTAAAATATGTAGACGTATGTACATAAATCTGCTGTGATGACTAAATATTTTCAGGATCATTTGGATATTGACGGTCGTATGCGCATACGTGTTTGTGACACGTGAAATCCGCCCCAGTATGCAATAATATTGCTGTTACGTCTACTGTACGGATATATGGCCTAAAAATTATTTCAAACTCTCTAGCTTACGACAAATGATATTTTGTAATTTATTCAAAAAGTATTTAATATTAAATTATAAGAAAAATTGAGATTACGCTCTACGAGATTGCTTAATTTCATAGTAGAAGTCAATGAAAAACAAAAAAAAAAATCGCATTTTTGTATAACCGCCCCTATGGTTTGAAACCCTCGATATTTATCGATTTTTTTTAAATATATTAATGAACATGTTTTACGTTATATTAGGGATATTTATAGGGATTAAAGACACTTTGGTATAATTGTTATTAACTTATTACCTGCACGTAATTTATAACTTATATAAGTTCCACCTATATTATACTTATTTTCTGGGAATAGTAATTAATTCCTCGAATTGCGCATACGAATCAGTTTGTGGCACAGAGGTTTGTGATGTGAATAAAACAATTGTGCACTAATTACATCTTGCGAATTAATTAGACGAGTTGGCACATTACTTTGCGAGACGAGAAGTGGCTCTAATAACAGGTGCTGGTTGCCCACTCGTGTATTGATAAAATGATGTACATTACATATTTGGTATAGTTAAGCATCTCTGGGAATCATCTCTTCTTCGGCTTCACTAACAATATTAAAAACTGCTCTCTTTACACGCACTCGCAAATGTGGTGGAAAGGTCTTAACAGTTTGGCCCATGTTTGTAAAAAACTCTACAGTGGGATCTTTCTCTTCTTGCCGGTCATGAGAATATTTTTTTTCCAAGTGTGACTGAAATAATGACTGTGAATTTGTAGATGTCTCTTGTATTTTCTTTATTTTGGTGGTACTATTGGCTAACACGGTTATAGCTGGTGATCTAGGTATTGAGTGCGATGACGTTATTTTACTTTGTTCTTCATCACTCGATATAGGGGGCAAGTTTGTTAGAAATTCGGATTCATTTTGAATATATGGGGATAAAAAACTCAGCTCCTTACCAGCCAAAACCTCCTAACCAGCTTAAAATTTTTCGCACCTTGACCACTTTTAGTTTTTCTTAGATTTATTGCCTTTCTGTAGTTTTCTCGAATCTTTTTCCACTTCTCCTTACACGCTAGTGCTGAAAAAAAGTAATATTTGTAATTTTTATTTCCCAAAATTTAATTCTATAATGAGTGCTGAAATCTTTAAAAAGTACGTATATTCATAATTATATCAATTTTGTTTTAGATTTTTGCCCACTGGAAATTCTTTTCGATCGTTGACTTTCAGTTTTAGAATGGGTGAAAAAACTGTAAGAACGATTGTTTAAGAAACTTGCACTTGGAACAAAATGCAACCAACACCACCCGCGGAACAAGAATGAAAAGAAATTGCAAAATCTTTTTTGCAAAAATGGAATTGCCCTAATTGTATTGGTGGGTTGTATGAAAAGGACCCACACAATAGTGGTTCCAAGTACTATTGTTATAAAAACATTTTTTATTGTTTTGTTTGCTTTAGTTGATGCTGAATACAAATTTACGCTTTTGGATATAGGTGATCTCGGGAAGAATTCCGATGGGTGCATATTTTCAAACTCTGTTATAGGGAAATCGTTGATGCAAAACAAACTAAATGTTCCTAGAGATACACAGAGCGGCCAACGCTCCATGTGATAGTTCGGAGATGTTCTATATATATACTGTTTATAATTCGGAATTTTTGATAGCGTGATTTAGGCTTCGGTGTTTCGCTTGCGGCGCGACGACAGCCCCGCCACATTACCCCCCCCCTGTTCAGACCGGAGGTCGATAGTGCAGCCTCGTTGCCGACGAATGTACAAGTGCCAGGAGATTGCCTTGTAGGAATCGAGAAGAAGGCAAGTAATCTGCGACAGTGCCGTGAAGCAGAGGCGAGCAGTGCGGCTCAGAGCCGTGCCGAACACTGTAGCGCAGAGAGTAGCTTGAAGGAACAGGAAGCATTATTATTCCAGTGCTGCGATAAACCTTGTGAAGCTAGCTGGCTTGCAGGATACGAAGACTGCAGACAATATCTGCTCGGGAGCGAATGGGTGGGGTATTCTATGACGATGATGAAGCTTGAAGTTTCCGAAGGTTGTTGGTTGTGTGTTCAGATCACGTTGGGTGGTCACCACTGTGGCCGTGGAAGGAAAAGGGGAGATCTCCCGCCGGGTAAGGTGTTCTGCCCGGGAGCGGCCAACACTCCATGATGTGATAGTTCGGAGATGTTCTATATATAGGGTTTATAATTCGGAATTTTTGATAACGCGATTTAGGCTTCGGTGTTTCGCTTGCGGCGCGATGACAGCGCCGCCACACATGCTTACCAGGCACAGAAGAATACAATATGCCCTATGTAAGTGTAGCGGATGCGGCTCTATCTTTGCGAAGATTTTTACAGTGGCCATATCCTGGCAACCAAAATATAAATATTGAAGAAAAGAAAATTTTAACTATCATCAAAGTAGGGCTCGTCGTGTCAGCGAAAGTGCTTTCGGTATACTGTCAAGAAGGTTTAGAATATATGAAAGATGATTGTCCTTGACTCCTGAACATGTGAACATTGTAGTATGAGCAACAATTTTTTACATAACTTCTTGAGAAATAACGACTTATGGTCAGAAAAAGATTTGAGAGAAAATGTGAATCACAGTTTAGTGGATTTACCTCAACTCGGGGGTAATGCGTCTCAATCCGTATTCGAAATTCGAGAAAAATTCAAAACATATTTTTTGTTTAATGCAGGCTCAGTTCCATGGCAAACAAATATCGTCAGGAGAGAATTCCAGCATTACAGTTTTTTAAATATGTAGCTATTGTATATTATATATTATAATAAATGAATATGTTCACTAATAATAAAACAAAACTCACGAGTTTCATTCATTATTCTCCCAATTTCTTCCCATATGTTCATCCGACGCTGGTCATCGTGATAATGTGGATCTTCATGATTAAACGATTCTGGATATTTTTGGACTAGTGATATCAATAGTTCTTCATTCATTTTTATTTAAACATAAAGATTTTTATAAAAACGAAATAAAAATTAGTAAAAATACGTTGGTGCGCATTCACTTCTACGCGTCGACTGAGGCGCGTCGAGTTGAATCCAATCGCATCGGCGAAGAAATTCGCCTGTCAAGCAATTCGCGCGGTCGATTCAATTCGCTGCGCCGCGGCTCGTTGCCAATGGTTATATGCTAACGCAGTTATAGGAGGCAACTTTCTGCGATTCGATTCGACACGGCTCGGCGAGCCTAGTGGACGCGGGCCTAATTAATATCTTCAATTATTCGACTGTAACATAAATATTTATTTCATCTAAGTTGATATTAATTGCTGTTGGTTAAGAGAACGTTAATAACCGCTATAAGTAGCCACTTTTGGAGGTAATTAACGATTCTCTTAATTTATCAAATGCAAAATAACGAAAATTAATTCCGATAATACTACAGGTAATTTACTAATCAAGTTAATTTTAGATTTTTTAAAATTTGATATGATTCAGGGAGAAAGGAGATAAAATGATTGGTGGCGCTCTTAACACGTTCGCGTGAGCAACCTTATCTCTAAATGTTTGTACTGAGGCGCACCTTTTTACCCATACAAAGTTAAGCAACGTCTAAAGACGTCCCGCCGTAATACGTATGCCTTAGAACTGTGATTGCGGCGCAACGTTTCTTCACGTCCGACGTTTATACACGTTGCCGCCACTGCGCAGGTCTAATATACCATACTAAACGACACAACGTTCATATGCGTCAACTTAAATTTAGGTACTCGTAATTAAAATGATACAACTGGCTTGGCATATAAGTTTAATCAAAAGCAGAGGTAGGTAGTTTCTTTACAAACAAAATTAAACTTAATTAAAATCACAACAATCAAAAATCTTTATCATTCTTTATAATTGTACGAGACCAAAATCTCTATTACTTTTTAATCAGCCTTAATTGTTTATGTACCTATGTATTTATTAATAATTAACAAACATTATTTAATTATTAGGAAGGTATAGAATATGTAAGCTACAGGTGTGTACCTGTTTGATTATGCCACTCCTCAAAACACGAAGGGCATAGAGCTGGCTTATCTGGGCACCCTTTGCACCTATAGCTACTTTCTCTTCGTGTCTTATTTTTAGTACACATCTTGCATTTTAAAAATATACTCTTATTAGAGGAAATTTTTTTAGGTATCTTTTCAGGCCAGTGACCAGCCGAAATAGATGTTTCTTGCTTATTCGGGGATGGTACGGATTCGGTTCTTACTTTTTGTCGATTATCATATCTATGATGTTTTATTAATTTGTCCGGTTTTAGACCTGGATCTAATTTTAAAAGTTTAAATATTAAATCCTCACGAAAATCTATAAATTCATAACTCTTAGCATTACCTTTACGATATTTTTTATAAATATAAAAGCTGTTCCATACTGCTAGGTCTAGTATATGAAAAAATACCTTTTTGTACCACCTCACTGTCTTACTGGGAGATGAATAGTATGAGACCATTTGGTCGGAACGGTCAATACCTGACATATATTTATTATAAATTGAGACTTCCAGCGGTTTAGATTTAGATTCACCGTATCTGTTATGATCGTTAATTATTTTAGGATGGTTTAAGGTGGTAATCATGTATACAGGTCTTTTGTCGACCCATTTGGACACGTACACTTTATTTTTCCGCGCCCAAACATGATGTCCTTTTTTTAAGTTTTTTAGAGACAACTACTTTAGGATTATCTTTCCTGTTTGCTCTTAAAGTTCCATTGGTATGAGTTTTTAAATCTAATAGTTTTTCAGACAAGGGTACTGAATTATAATAATTGTCCATGAAAAGATGGTGGCCTTTCAACATATACGGCCTCATTAGCCGAAGAACGAGATTTTCAGTTTTCTTTCCTTTATCAGAAGGATCATCAGTCTTCCCAGTATACATAATTATATTGAGCACAAATCCTTCTGCAGTCGTCAACTCGTAAAATTTTATTCCATATCGAGCTTTTTTGCCTTTCATGTACTGTCTGAACTTTAATCTTCCCCTAAACAACAGTAAAGATTCATCTAATGAAAGCTCTTTTTCAGGTTTATAACAATTTTGAAATATTTGACACATGTTATCTATAAAACTACTGATCTTAGCACTTCCTTTAGCATTTAAGTCTGAAGCGTAAAGACATCTTAGTATTTGTTCGAATCTTCTTTGTGACATAACATACGGAAATATTGGATGATAATACAGAATGTCTGAATAGGTAAACAGTTTTCGTTTTTTAGGAACAGATATTTGTCCTTGTAATAAACACAGTCCTAGAAATTTAAAAAATTCATCTTCGTCAACTTTCCTGAACGAGTATCTACGACTATGTCTTGTCATTGGTCTATTTTTATTGCATAGAGCCTCACCATATTTATTTGTATGTTCGATAAGTTGACTAACAATATGAGATGGAAATAACTGTCCGAATACATCGAGAATCGAAGTATTTTCATCAATATGAAACTGGACGCCTGTTGATGTAGAATCAAAATTGAATTCTGGGATATCTAATGTTGTGTGTTCCCAATTTACAGTAGCAGGTGGTGTAATGGGCCTGTTATGCCTCTCCGATATATTGCTTGGTCCTGGTTCTGGGTCTTGCATTGTTATATTTGAGCTACAATTAGGCTCCTGTTGCTCTTCGACCGGTTGGGTAGTATTAGTCTGGAGTATTGATTCCGATTGCACAGATTCACATAAAGTAATAGAATCATCATGACTACGTGGAACATCTTCAGTAAGTGTCACATCTAGATACTCATCATAATGAGTCTGTAAAGATTCGGTTTTGTCCACATCAGACGATGATGAGCTCGAACTCGAACTTAAGGTACGATTATGCAATGGAGCTGTTTTTACAGGTTGAGATCTATTAGAAGGACGATTACATAACTTACTTCTTCTTGAAGTTCTATTTACGGAACTGTTGCTGCTGTCACTACTCACTTTATCATTACAAGGATTATAGTCTCCATCAGATCCATACTGACCATCATCACTAACACTGAATGGATCTGGTATCGAGCTTCCCGTCGACGCTTCTTCGAAAAGTCTCATAATACGTTCTTCTTCCTTATTCATCTATAACAATGCAAAATGACATCTTTACTAAAGCAAATAGCAAAGTAAATATATATTACTTTATGATTAAAACCATAACACCATATATTTTAAGATTATTACTATATTCTCACTGTTCAAAATAAGATAATAGTAAACAGCACAGAATAACCGTTAGCAAATTTTCTTTCAAAATTATATCATATTCTTCCTAGTTATGACGTTGTTTATTACTCACAAATATGCAAATGCTTATTCTAAATAAGCCTAATAAAGAAAGTTATAATATTTACTAACCTTTTATGACAAAATATTAGGCAATCCAGATAAGTTGCACGACGTTCACAAATCAAACACGTTAGGTCATCTGACTGCGCGCAGGCCAACTGGCAGTGTGGATAGCGGTACAAGGGAGGGCGTCATAAGACGTTGCGCGTGTCTGTGCGCGACCTTTGCATGTGTGCGTACAAAACTAGAACGACGTTTTTTTTAAAGTCACGCGGCGGTATAAGCTACGAAAATTGAATGTGTTGCGGCGCCACTTAGATGCGCCATAGGAATTCGCCTTTAAAATAGACGTCCAAAGACGTTCCGCGGGAATAAATATGACAATCTAGAGGCCGTCCTATGACGTTGCGCCATTTCATAATTCTATCAACATGACGTCGTAAGACGTTGCTCACGCGAACGTGTTAATTATAACTGCTTTTTGCAGTACCTGTAAAGGTTGCTAAGTATTGAGCACTATGCATAATATTAAATCCAATCGTACGTTCATTATTATTATTATTTGTTGTTGTATGTACCTAATGTTAAGTTAATAAAGTTATGCCTTGTAAACAATCTGACATTTTAAAAGATAAACTTCCTTTTTAAATTCCGTTTGAAATTGCTTCATGCAGTAACACGTCGACGTCTGCAATTTTAAAAGTGCTGTTTTTGGTGGCAACTTCATTTTTTCCTTGAGCCCATACCAACTCAAATGGGTTATATTGGCAATGGGTATCGTTATAAGTTATCGCTGTGGTCAAAATTGGCCAGAAAATCATCATATTGTACTGTGGCCAATTAGTACGAACAGCGTAGGATTACTATTTATCATTGAGTTACACAACACTAGAGGAGCAAACCACACAATTTTAAGTAAACATATATGTATCTCACTTACACAAGTTGCGAAAACAATATCGTCGCTAAGATTAGATAAAGATAGACACACAAACATGCAATGGCGGGTTAGTGTGGCTTACTATATGAAATTTTACCTAAAATACGCAATAAAAACGAGTTTTTTTTTAAGCTGCAGTTAATTGTTTTTATATTAAAAATTATATTTTATTTTAAAATCTTTATTACGTCCCATTAGAAAAAAAGGATACAAAGCTTATCTAGATGAATAGAAGTAAACATAATGATGAAATAAAACGTATTTTTGTGGTACTAATAAATCAAACAATATAAAATAGGTAATAAAATATAATTAATATAAAATTTATATGAAATTATAAATAATATAAAATTATTAATATAAAATAGGTAATAAAATATATTTAATAGATAGTTAATGAATAAACTAAAATAAGAATAATTAATTATTTTGTAGGAAAGTTAAAACGTAGTTTTTATTATAATTTCCAAAATATTTAAAATCAGAGGTAACAAATTAACTTACTCCATTAATTATATAGTCTCCCATTAATGTAGGATAATCACAAATGCGGATAAGTGGCAACATTGAACCTAAATGGCAATATTCGATAATTTTATTTAATTATTTGAGGTTTTTTACGTTTATATGAAAACAAGAACTAAAAATTATGTGTTGAAAGTGATTCCGCTTGATTTATTACGTTTTTGTGACCTTGAATAGCATTCTTTCACTACGCATTTACCCATTTT